AAAAGTTGCCACAGCAAGGCATCGATCCAGGCGCCGCATTTGGAGAGGGGGGAGGCAGCAAATGCAGGAGGCGTGCGTGTGCGTAGGGTTTTTCTCAGGTGGACGTGGGAGCTTGTGTGTGATTTTCTCAGGTGGACGTGAGAGCTTGTGTGTGGGTGTTCGACCATCGATTTCAGATGACGGCTCGTAGACTACCCCGACCGGCGCACGGAATACCGCTCATATACGCAATCACGGCCCAGTGGGACCAAAGTGGGACCTTTTGTCCCCACTGGAACCACTTTAACCTTTGGTTCCGGAACATTGCCATTAGGGCTTGAATAATTCAGTTGACCCAATTTATTTCATAAAGACTGAATACGCAGTGGTGCTTTATTGATGTCTGCATTCCCTCATCATTCTCTATTGGTCTCCTGTTATATTTCTAGCTTTACTTTAAAAAACATAGATTTGTAAACGCATACTTCAAATGGTCTCTTTTGCTGCCGGCGTTTCTTATTCTTTTTAGTTGATATTACAATACAACGACACTTTAAAACGCTCAAGCATTTAGTTGATCGATTTCTTGATGATTTTATACATCCCTTCCACGCCGGCCTAAGGGCTGCGAATTCCTTCCGTCTCATCGGCATATAAGCGTTATACATTTCGATTTGTAGCACGCTACCTAATGTGCAAAGAGACAGAAATACAGAAAGTGATATTAGAAATGTTTCCCTAACAGATGTGCATTTTATGTAAACCTTTTGATTTTTGAGTCCTCTGGTCTCAGTGAATGCAGAATTTTTTTGCTGAGAATTCTGAATAATTAAAAATAAAAAAGCATATTCCGCTCCTAAAGTTCTCGTTCACGCATTCTGAAATTGCCTGGGAAAACAATCCTCCCCAGAGGAGACACCGGAAGAAAAGGCGACACGAAATGCCTACCGTATTTAACAGGCCAGACTTCAGCAAGCAGGCCATGGTAAGTCAGTTGGCTGAGACAGGGCGTCAGAAGGTCAACCGAACGATCAATAAGGATGAGGAGATGGGCCTGCCCGGGAGACTCGAGAGGATGCGAGGTAGTAGGCTCGGTGGCATCCAAACTGGCCGAGACTGTGGCCTCATGTCGCATTTGCACTAACATGGAAGCAACACGCTGAAAACCAACAAGTGCCTTATTTTAAAAAAGCATCTTCCATGCAGAGAGATAAGTTTCAAAAAAACCATCGAAATTTACATGTATGAAAATGGCCTAAAAACTCTTAGAGTTGGCTAATTTTTTGGGAAGTTCAAAAACAGACTTCACCGTAACATTTTGCTACGAGAGGATGAGTAGAGATCACTGGTTTTCAAAATAGACGGTCAAACTCCAGTATTACGTGAATAAGACCAACAAAAGGGACCGCAAAATTACAGGAGTAACTAGGGCACTCTGATGTGAAACCGCAACGTGTGTGACGGGAGCAGAATTCTAATTGGGTAACATTGCTCTTATTAACTCCATTCAGAGTTAAAATTAGTAGTCGCAATCGGACCGTTGTGAAGAAACCAAAGACCTACCTATTCAAAGTAACTAGGAAAGATGTCTGGGTCAGTTACCTATAAATCTGTATCGTGTAGCCTAAGGGACACGTTGGAATGAATCGATTCCATAAAGAAATACAAATCTCAAGGGAAAAACAACGTTGACCTTAG